CAGATACAGGGTCATGAGGTTGATTGTGGAGATTTAGTCCACTGCTTCTGAGCCTGCTGGGAGAGATTTCCCTTTCTCTTCTTTGTTCGCACAGCTCCTGGGGTTCAGCTTTGGATTTGGCCCCGCCTCTGCGTGTAGGTCGTGTAGGTCGCAGGATGGCGTCTGTTCTTCGCTCAGACAGGACGGGGTTAAAGGAGAAGCTGATTAGTGGGCTCTGGCTCACTCAGGACGGGGGGAGGGAGGGGGTACGGATGCGCGGCGAGCCTGCGGCGTCAGAGGCCAGAGTGATGTTGCACCAGCCTGAGGCGCACCGTGTGTTCTCCCGGGGGAAGTTGTCCCTGGATCACGGGACCGTGGCAGTGGCAGGCGCACAGGCTCCCAGGAGGGGAGGTGGGGATAGTGACCTATGCTTGCACACAGGCTTCTTGGTGGCAGCAGCAGTAGCTTTAGTGTTTCATGCCCATCTCTGGGGTCCGCGCTGATAGCCACAGCTCGCGCCTGTCTCTGGAGCTCGTTTACGCGGTGCTCTGAATCCCCTCTCCTTGCGCACCCCGAAACAACGGTCTCCTTACTCTTAGGCATGTCCAGACTTTTCCCGGACTCCCTCCCGGCTAGCTGGGGCGCACTAGCCCCCTTCAGGCTGTGTTCACGCAGCCAACCCCAGTCCTCTCCCTGGGATCTGACCTCTGACGCCCGAGCCTCAGCTCCCAGCCTCCGCCCACCCCGGAGGGTGAGCAGACAAGCCTCTCGGGCTGGTGAGTGCTGGTCAGCACCGATCCTCTGTGCAGGAATCTCTCTGCTTTGCCCTCTGCACCCCTGTTGCTGTGCTCTCCTCCGTGGCTCTGAAGCTTCCCCTCCCCACCATCCCCCATCTCTGCCAGTGAAAGGGCTTCCTAGTGTGTGGAAACCTTTCCTCCTTCACAGCTCCCTCCCACTGGTGCAGGTCCCGTCCCTATTCTTTTGTCTCTGTTTTTTCTTTTTTCTTTTGCCCTACCCAGGTACGTGGGGAGTTTCTTGCCTTTTGGGAAGTCTGAAGTCTTCTGCCAGCGTTCAGTAGGTGTTCTGTAGGAGTTGTTCCACATGTAGATGTATTTCTGATGTATTTGTGATCTCCACGTCTTACTCCTCCGCCATCTTGAAGCCATAATGCTTCTTTGAACGTCCTCAGACATAAATCTTTTTTGACCATTTCTGATTTTTTGGTAGGATAAATTCTTTAAGTTGGAATTGCCAGCTAATATATACTACATGTTGTCAAATCTGCATCTGTAGCCTATGGCTTTTACTTCCTCAGAGATACCTGCTGTCCATCTGTTGTCACCAGCTAACTGGTCATTAGGCCAAGCATTGTGAATAAACAGAGAGACAATTTAATAAAAATAATGTAAGTGCTGCCATTTGTTAGCATACATACATCTGTGTCAGGAATTCTATTAAAGGTCTACATTATTTCTCTTTATCCTCACGGTAACCCTCTGGGGTGTGGGTATCATGATCTCCATTTTAAAGATGAGAACACCGAGGCACAGATAGGTAAAGAACTTGCTCAAGGTCACAAGCCGGTACAGTGCAGTCAGAATTGAAGCCCAGGCCTATCAAACTCTAAACCCTGTGCTCTTAACGTCTGCTTCTCGTGTGCGGGTATACACTGGTGACTGGGGGCTTCACCAGAGCCAGGCCTCCACAGGCATTTGTGACCCCAGTGGACCATGTAAGATAGACCATGTAATGGCCTGCAGCCTACTACAGTGCTTGGGGTGGCCCAGGGCCAGCTTTTCTGTTTTTCCGAAGAGGTGAAGTTGCGGGCCTGAGGTCTGGCCCAGCCTGTTGGGGAATGTGGACTCAGGGTGTGGCTGCTTCATCAGTGCCTTGGCTTGGAGTTTTCCATCAGCCTCAAGGAACCTTTGCAATAATGCATCATTCCTCCACAGGGTTTTCTGGCCAAGGATTTGCAAGCTGAAGCTCTCTGCAAACTCGACAGGAGAGTAAAGGCCACAATCGAGCAGTTTATGAAGATCTTGGAAGAGATTGACACGCTAGTAAGTAAATATTCAGCTGAGAAGAACTAGTTTCCTTTGACTATTTTTCAGTCAGTTTCACTCTTTCAGTATCGCACTCACTGCCTGAGGGTATTGAGCACCTATCGCGTACCAGACACTGCTAGGTCTTTGGTGAATACACAGAAAGGTAAGATGGTTCCTGATTTCTCCTGTCCCACCAACATAGGGCTTTTGTCATATTATTTATGTATTTATTTATTTATTTTGGCCACGGCATGCGGGATCTTAGTTCCCCGATCAGGGATTGAACCCATGCCCCTGCATTGGGAGTGCAGAATCTTAACCACTGGACTGCCAGGGAAGTCCCTGTTATTTTTATTTATGTATGCCAGTAGCATCTAATCCTCAGGAAGCTGGGATGGTCCATGATCTCATGGTTAGAGAAATACAGGGCTTAACTTTCGTAACACACGTGTCTGACATTTCACTGAGCTCATTAACTGTACAGAATTCAGTCAGACCCAGCTCCTGTGAGGCTGTTGGGAATCATCGATGCCACGCTCCCTCTTAGAGATGACACAGTAATGATATCTCTAGCCTAAACTACTCTGCTTGGGATTCTTGGGGGGAGGTGGTAAAGAAGAAGCAGAAAAGCACTGTGCTTTTCCTGCCACCCTGAGCTCATGGTCCAGCCAGGACACAGTATCCATGCACAGGAAACAGCGAGAGGACAAAGTCCATGTTATAGATCTATGGCCCCAACACCAAGAACAAAGGGAGCTTGTATAGGGGTGAGAGCCACGGGAAGGGCCATGTAGGGTACAGATCCAGGGAAGTGATTCCTGAAAATGCATGTCATTCACATTAGTGACCTGTGGCCTGTTCGGTATACTGTAGGTATTTCTGACGTGTTATGTCATTTTCACTGAGGATTATTTATACGTCAACTTATTCTTCCGTAGGTTCTGCCAGAAAATTTCAAAGACAGTCGAATGAAAAGGAAGGGTTTGGTGAAAAAGATTCAGGTGAGTTGTGTGGTAGGGCATCACAAAGTGTAATGTGTTGGTGCATGTATCTGTTCAAAGTAGGGTAGAGTACAAGTGTGGTGTGGCCTCTCTTTGGTTGTTATATCTCAGCATGAACCCAGAACCTAAGAGAAGAGCTCCTTTTATGTCCCTGTAATTAAATTTGGATTTAAACTAATTGAGAAGGAAGATGGCTGGAGAGCAGATAGGGCTGACATGTTATACTGATCCAATGGACAGGACCCCCTGAAATCATGCAGTTGCAGTGGCCTGGCTTCCTGTCCTCGGCACCCTTTGGGGGTTGTTGGCATAGAGCACTGTCAGAAGCCCTGGTCCTGTGCTTCCTCTACCTCCCCCTCCTTCCTCTGGAGCCCAGGCCATCTCCATCCCTGCACACCTGTTTCAGCCTGAGTCAGTCGCCCAGGGGTTCCCCAGAGTGGCTGGGCAAAGAGCCTTTTGCAGGTGGGGCTGGCAGGGGTGCCTGGCCCCGAGTGGGCCCTTACTGCTCTGCATTTACCTTGTAGGCGTTCCTAGCTGCATGTGATACAGTGGAGCAGAGCATCTGCCAGGAGATGGAGCGACTGCAGGCCACAAACTTGGCCTTGGCTGACTGAGGTGAGGCGGAGAAGGTTGTGCTGCCTTGAAGAACAGCTCCACCAGCTCTGCACTCTCTGGAACAGAAGTTACGTGCTTTCCCCGGGGCTGCTGGGGACAACTGGCTGATTGCAAGTTTTCCTTCTCTTATACCTGCTCTCAGTGAACACTTGTCTGTGCAATCTTAGCGCACCTGTCAGTTTCTTATTCCGTTTGTGTATATCTGTGCTGTCCAGCAGCTCACCTTGTCTGGAGAGGGCCTCCTCTGCCCAAGTCTTCCCAGCTTTTTTGACCTTTGGATGCTTTCTTTGGGCTGGTGAGATCTCTCATTTGTCCTGGGGTAGTTCTGGGTTTATCAGCTATCCTGTCTTCAGATACATGAGGCCTTTTTGCCCTTATGATCCCATAGTCCCATCTGTGTAAACCAGAATCACCAGGAGGCTACATCTGGTCAGGAATGTTAGGAATGGCTGAGAACAGGTGTTTGGCACACAGGTAGTCCAAGTATCTCTCATTGTGACATAATTCTGGAACAGCTGGCTGGGTTGTGGGTTCATAGACCCTGTCTTCACCCCCCAGTGACCCTGACCAGTCACAGGCCGTGAGGTCTCAGGGGGCTGCTCCTGGACTGGGGCCTGTGGTTGATCCATGGGCTTCCTTGTCCCCAAGCAGATCTCTAGGAGGTTACAGCCCAGAGTTGACTAAGTCTCTGCTCGAAACCGGGTCACAACCATGGCTTAGGAGGGACAGAGAAGAGAGACAGAGTGAATAATAAAGCAGGCAGGTAGTGAGGGCCACCATAAGGAGTTCCTTCAAAGGAACTCTCAGGAGTTCCTTCAAAGGCATTTCTGTTAACCGTACCCTTCTGAGATCTACATGTCCTTCGAGTTCTTCGAGGCTGTTTTTGTCTGTTTTGTGGCCTTTTTTCCCTTCATTGTTATTTAAAAAATAAAACAGTTTCTATATACATCAGCAAGCAGAAGAGTGTTTAGACTTTTTTTTCCTTTTGGTAGATGAAGTATGGGAAGCAAAAGCCTTCTGAGGTTCTAGTCTAGTTATGTTATAAAGTTGAGAGTGGCCCTGTGTGCTGGAATGCTTAAACAGGTCAGCGGCCATCACCCCATTTTTTCACACAGTGCCCAGGAGACAGGCTTCCAACAGGCCACTCTGAGGTCAACCTTCTTTGGCAGAGAGGGAGTCTGTGAAGTCCCAGGCATTTAGGGCTGCGTGGGTGGGACTAGGACAAGGTGGTGGTTAGGGGTGGACAAGTGGACGAGGCTTGGTGCCCGGCCCGCCCACCCCCAGCTTTAATCAGAGCAGTCCAGTATTTCTCTGTTTCTAGGTAGTAGCTGTGTGGCCTTGAGCCCCAGCACGTTCCTGTGTGCCAGATACCACTCTAAGTTCTTGAGGTGTATTGGTCATTTAATCCTCACACAATCTAGGAGGTAGACAGATACTATCCCTGTTTTATAGATGAGCTCAGGTAATTTGCTCACGATCACAGAGTAAGTGACAAAGCCAGGACACAAACTGGGTAGCTTGCGTCCGAGCCCAAGTCCTTAATCTCTGCCAGTTTGCCTCCCAACTAACATGGGGTTGCTCACACCCTCTCATTTTCTCTTTTTCTTCTATTTATCTCCCATGTTGGCCTCTGCAGCTCCCCTCCGGCCCTCTCCAGTTCATTCTCCACAGAGCAGCTGAGTGATCATGAAGTACACAAATTACCACGTCAGTCCCCTGCTTAAAAACCTCAGAGGCCAAGGTCCGTACCCTGCTCCCTTCTCATCTCGGGCCACTCTCCTGTTTGTTCTCTGCTGTCAGCCACTCTGGTCTAGTTCAGGCCCTCGGGTGCCCTGTGCCCTCTCCCGCCCTGGAGTCTTTGCAGACGCTGTTCCTCTGCTTGGACAGCTCCACGCCATCCTTCCCCTTCCCCTACCCCTGTCCTAGGCGACTCCTGTTCATGCTTCAGAACGTAAACGTCTCTTCATGGAGAAACCTCACCTACTACTGTCTGAGAACATCAAGCCTCCAGGTGATATCCTGTCACAGTTTGTCATGACTTTTTACGATAAACAGTGTTTATCATGGTCTATGATGATTTATTTGTGGGATTATTTGATTAATATTTGCCTTTATGCTAGACTGTGAGTTCCTTGGGTTAAGGAGCTTCTTTGTCTTGTTAACAGTGTATTTCAAGCAGATTGTCTGGTTTATATTAGATGCTCAATAAATATTTGGAGAATGAATGAATGTTGACCGCACACATTAATAGTGAAATTTCCACTGCTGCACTCACCCACTGAAGCTCTGTCAGCACTGGGATATATAGCATCCCTAGCCATTGTCTATTTAAGGGTGGGCTGCCCAGCAGATGTGCAGGGTAGTAACACGGCCCACTCACATAGATCTGCACATCTACAGGGCATCTCTGCCTATGAACAGGGAAAGAGTACACATCAGTTGACCACTTGCCCATAACATGATCAGTCCTGCTGCAGGGGAATAAATGGGGCTCTGTGATCCCACAAACATCCTTCAGCCTCACAGAGTTGGAAGAATTCTCCCACACATTTTCTGTTCAGTCAATTATTTCTGCTTATCCTTCGAGGCACAGCTTAAAGTTTATCCCCTCAGGCTTCCCTGGTGGCGCAATGGTTCAGAGTCCGCCTGCCGATGCAGGGGATGTAGGTTTGTGCCCCGGTCTGGGAAGATCCCACATGCCGCGGAGCGGCTGGGCCTGTGAGCCATGGCCGCTGAGCCTGCGCGTCCGGAGCCTGCGCTCCGCAAAAGGGGGGGGCCATAGCGGTGAGAGGCCCGCGTACTGCAAAAAAAAAAAAAAACCTCATTGAATAGGATTCATTGAGTGATAAGACTTGTACCTTTCATGGTGCATAATTGTTAGCAGGGGAGAAAAAGCATTAAAAAAAAAAAAAATAAAGCCTTCCAAGACTCCCTATTGTGACCACTAAGCCTCTTCATCTTACGTTTAGGGCACCGCGTGAGCTGACCCCAAACTTCCCCTGGGCTCACTTCCTCGTACACCTCCCCATGCCCCTATGCCCCCGCCATTCCTCTCTGCTCACTCTTCTGGAACAAGCTCTGTGTTGGCTTATGCTGGTCCCTCTGCCTGAAATGTCCTTATTCTCCTCCTCCTATTGACTCAGACCCTCCTTTCAAGACACAGACCACCTCCCAGTGAAGTATTCCCTGATATCCCCCAGGGCTTCCTGAGCAGGCCTGGACTTAGGCTTCTGTTTTAGTCCATTTGGGCTGCTATAACAAAAATAGCATAAACTGGGCGGCTTATCAACAAACGTTTATTAGTCATACTTTTGGAGACTGGAAGTCTAAGGTCATGGTGCCGGCAAACTTGGTGTCTGGCAAGAACCCTCTTCCTGGTTAGTAGTCGGTGCCTTCTCACTGTGTCCTCACGTGGTGAAAGGGTGAAGGAGCTCTCTGGGGCCTTGTTTATAAGGGCACCAATCCCATTCATGTGGACTCTGGCTTCATGACCTAATCACCCCCCAAAGGTCCCACCACCCAATACTATCACCTTGGGAGTTAGAATCTCAACATATGAATTTGGGGGGCCACAAACCCCTAGACCCTAGTAGCTTCTTTCACACCACCATGTGCTCACCCACTCACCGGGTCACTCTTTCCGGACCTGAGTGCCTTGGGGTTCCTTTGTCTCTGCCTCCAAGTGGCAATGCCCTTCACACAGTGAGTGTCCAGGATTTGACCACTAATGTGCATTGTAGGGGAGAAGTTCAGAACCCTGTGGTGTCAGAGTTTCTTCCTGGATGATGTGGGAAGTTGCATTTACCCCCAGACTGCCCTTGACCTTGGCCCAGTGTGCCCCTTCCTCACACAGCCCAGGCAGGGATCTGCAATGGGCAAAAGGACTCTCTTTAGGGCAGCCTCTTCAGTGTTCCCAACAAGAGAGCTGCTGATGGAATGGATGCCAGGCTGGGAGTAAGCAGGCTGTGCCAGGCCAGAGTCTGCAGACCCATTCTCTATTGTGTCAGCTCCTAGTCTATGTCCCCAGCTGGGGAAATGGGTTTGAGACTGGCCATGAGGCCAATGTCCCTGGGGTCCTGCTGGGCTTTGCTCTGTAACATCATGACTTTGTCCAGGTGTGTCCTAAATAGTCTCCCTGCTTCCCCTTTTAGTCTGTTCTCAACTTAGCAACCGGAGCAAACCTTTTAACACATAACTCTGCTCATTACACTTCAGTGTCTCCCATTTCACTCAAAGGAAAAGCCATGCCCTCACATTGACCTCCAATGCCTTACCCAATATAGTTCCCAGTTGCCTGTATCATCTCTTCTCCTATCTCTCTGCACCCTGCCCCTCACTCTCTTCTAGCCCCGCTGGCCTCCTCGCCGTACCTCAAACGCTCCAGACATGCTCCTACCTCAGGGCCTTTGCACTGCCTGTTCCCTCTGCCTGGAACCCACTTCTCTTAGATACCCCCATGGCTCACTCCTCTGCCTCCTTCAAGCTTTGCTCAAACATCAGCCTCTCAGAGAGAACTCCTCCGATTTAACATTGCAACCCTCTCTCAATCCCCATCACCCTGCCCGGTATTTTTTTCCTTAGGCTTTATCACCTTCTAACATACTGTTTAACATACATTGCACCTATCTTGTTTATTGTTGGTTCCACTCCCTCAAACCCCACTGGATTTAAAGACCTATCAGGACATTTCTTTTTCTGGTGTGCTCACTGATAAGTTCTAAGGGCTCAGAACAATGCCTGATACCCAGCAGGTGCGAGACTGCGCCCTAGGCCCTGAGCAGGCCCCACTCCTGCGGGCATGTGTGTAGCCCAGGGCGAGGGCTCCCTTGTGCTCACAAGGCTGCTCTCATCCCCACAACCACAGCCTGTCAGAGCAGATGGGAGCTCAGAGGACCCAGGCCAAGCTTTCTTCAGCACCCACCACCCTACAGCCACCAGACTTGCCTATCTCCCCAGAGATAAGACTTCTCCCTTCTGCCTCCCCGATCTCTAGCCCAGTAGTTGCTCAGTGCAGCTTTGAACTAGAACAACCTCCTACTTTATAGCTGGAGAAACAGAGTCCCCAAGAGGGGAGGGGACTTTTGCAATTCTGGGACAGAGTTAGAATTTGAACCCAGGTTTCTTTTCTCCTAGCCCAGCGTGCAGAAAGAAGGTATATGCAGAAAACCAAGGCCTTAGAGGGTGCTCCAGGCCCTGCCTCTGCTCCACGCAAGCTCACCTACCAACACCAAGCCAGAGAATCCAGGCTCTGCCTACTCACCCCTGTCCACAAGGAAGAGGGCAGCCAAGGCCAGGGTGACCACCCACAGGCGAACAGCCATGCTGATCCTGGGCTGACGTGGCCTGAGTGAGCTGGGGCCTGGGCCAGGGATGATAGAGGCCTGTTTATAGTGCTGATCCCCACCCTTATCTTACCTGAGGCCAGATGGAGAGGCCGGAGGTGTCACCTATCTGCACCTTGGCATCTAGAAAGGGTTTGTTCTCTGCAGAGACGCTGAGCTTGTGGTGGCCTGGGGCGGGGGCTGGGGCTATGGCCAGCAGATTTTGGAAGTGAGAAAAAGTTTGGACAACTTGCAAAGCTGACTCCAGACTGAGGGCTGAAGGAACAGGCAGAGGGAAACAAGTAGAAAGAGGAAGACAGGGGCTTCCCTGGTGGCACAGTGGTTAAGAATCCGGCCTGCCAATGCAGGGAACACGGGTTTGAGCCCTGGTCGGGGAAGATCCCATGTGCCACGAAGCAACTAAGCCCATGCGCCACCAACTACTGAGCCTGCGCTCTAGAGACCACGTGCCACAACTACTGAAGCCTGCGCTCCTAGAGCCCGTGCTCCGCAACCAGAGAAGCCACTGCAATGAGATGCCTGCACACTGCAACAAAGAGTAGCCCCCGCTCACCGCAACTAGAGAGAAAGCCTGTGCACAGCAACGAAGACCCAACACAGGCAAAAATAAATAAATAAAATAAATAAATTTATATTAAAAAAAGAGGAAAACAAAGAGAGACTAATTCAGAGAGACTGAGACAGAGATATCAAAAAGAAAACAAAAAAGCAGCAATTGGAAGGTGGTTAGAGGCAGAGAAAAGGGGCTGGAGTCATGGGTTCCTTTGGCCAGTGCTGACACTAACCAACTTCGTGAGCTCAGAAAAGCCGCTTTTGTTAAACTGGACCTCAGTTTACCCACCATAAAATGGGGAAGATAATTCTGGCTCTGTCTCCCTCCTAGGGCTGCTGTGAAGACGAGAGGTGGTGATAGCAGATGGGAAAACACTTTGCAGAGTATGAAATAAGGTATAAATAGAAATAGAAATTATTCCTTTTATTTATTTTTATTTCTTTTTTTGCACCATGAAGAGGGTGCAACTGACAGAGGAAAAAAAAGTAAAATAAAACATATTGTAAGGAAGATGCCCTCATGCTTTGCATGTAGTCTATGTCCTTTTACATTTAAATGGGTTAAATACAGATAAGATTCTGTTCAGGAAAAATCAATATCTAGGGGACTTCCTTGGTGGCGCAGTGTTTTAGAATCCGCCTGCCAACGTAGGGGACACAGGTTCGAGCCCTGGTGCAGGAAGATCCCACACGCCGCAGAGCAACTAAGCCCGTGAGCCACAACTACTGAAGCCTGCATGCCTAGAGCCCGTGCTCCACAACAAGAGAAGCCCCCGCTCGCCTCAACTGAGAAAAGCCCACGCACAGCAACGAAGACCCAACACACCCAAAATTAATTAATTTTAAAATAAGAATTTAAAAAAGAAAAATCAGTATCTAAAACTTCCCCTTACTTATACAGGTATATGACTAAGATATTTGGTTATCTGTTTTCGAAGAATTTTTTTTTAATTAATTAATTTATTTTTGGCTGCATTTGCTGCGCACAAGCCCTCTCCAGCTGTGGTAGGCGGGAGCCGCTCTTCGCTGCCGTGCGCGGGCCTCTCACTGCGGCGGCCTCTCCCGTTGCGGAGCACGGGCTCCAGGCGCACAGGCCTCAGGAGCCGTGGCCCGCGGGCCCAGGAGCTGTGGCTCGTGGGCTCCAGAGCGCAAGCCCAGCAGTTGTAGCGCACGGGCCCAGCCGCTCCGCAGCACGTGAGATCCTCCCGGACCAGGGCCGGAACCCCTGTGTCCTGCACTGGCAAGCTGATTCCCAACCACTGCACCACCAGGGAAGCCCCAAAGAATTTCTGATTATAAAGAGAATAACAAAATTTTATTTACATATGCAT